GAATTTGTCCACTTCGCACCACGCCCATGGCTAGCTACTATCCTACCCCAAGCCACTATCATTTCCCACCTCCCAATTGGTCTCCCTGCTTCCACCTTTGCCCCCTCTAATCCATTTCCCACCCAGGAACCAGAGTTACAGTATTCTTAAAAGGAAAAAAAAAGTAGGTATGTCCCACCTCTGCTCAAAATTACCCGATGGTCTCCAACACAAAAATAATATCAAATGCCTTTCATGGCCAAGAAGGCCCCTGTGGTCTTATTCCTTCCCATGTCTCCATTGAGAGCAAGAGCTCTCAATGTTCCAGCCATACTCCCCTCATTTCTGTTTATTTTTGGTGGGGGTGGAAGGGGGCCAGTTGAGACAGGTCTCGCTCTATCGCTTAGGCTGGAGTTCAGTGGCAGTATCTCGGCTCACTGCAACCTCAGCCTCTCAGGCTCAAGTGATCCTTCTATCTCAGCCTCCTCAGTAGCTGAGACTACCTTTTTTTGTAGAGATAGCACCTCACTATGTTGCCCAGGCTGGTCTTGAATTCCTGGGCTCAAGTGATCCTCCCACCTGGCCTCCTAATGTGCCGGGATTAACAAGGCCATTCCTTTCTCCAAATTCAGGCCTTTGCACTTGTTTTCTCTGCCTGAAATGAAATGCCTCTCTAAGCTCTGCATGACTGACACATGTTTATCCTCCAGGTCTCTGTGAAAGTTGCCTCCTCAAAGGGGCCTGTGCTAACCAACATTTTTAAGTCAGCCTCCTCTGACTCATCTTATCCTCATCACCCTCTTTACTTCTTACAGCACTCTTACCAACAGCTATGACTTCCTTATATTTCTATTATCAATGCCCCCTGATTAGAATAGAAGGCCTATGAGACTACGGATCTGTCTACCTTGATCTCACTCTATCACCAAGAGCTTAGTACAATGCATGGAACATAGTTTGGGTGGTAGGGGGTTGGGTTGGGTGTGTGTGTGTGTGTGTGTGTGTGTGTGTGTGTAGGTGTTAATACCAGTTTGTTGAATGGATTTTTTAAAAAAGGCAGAATGATGAAAGATAAAGTGCGGCCAAGAAACACACAGGAAATGAAACTCACTGTATCCTCCATGGCTCTGCTGTAGGTTCAGTTGGGGTGACAAAGTACAACTCTTCTGGTCAAAAACACAAACATCTCACCACTGTCACCACTGCTGCCATCAAACAGCAAGTCAAAAGAACTGAGAGTTCTGGCTCTGGCTCTGATATTAACTACAACTTTGACAAAATGAAAGACTTTACCCTCTTAGACCTTATCTGCAAAATGAAAGAGCTGTATGTTTAGCTTTAAAATTCAAACATTCTAAATTCAGTATATGATTTGGTATACCCATCTCTGCTTATTCAACTTCTCCTTTTCCATAAAAAGCCTACCTAGCACATACATCCTGTATCCGAAACCTGTGTCTAGGCATACCTTCCCACCTCCACATTCCATCCCAACACACCCAGCCTCGGGGTCCACGTGCATGAGCACTCAGAGATGCCATGGTTTCTCCCTCTTTCACTTGTTATCTCTAGACAGAAAAGAGCAATATAAAGAAATCTCAATCTTCCCAACTGGGCAGGTCCACCTCTGATGTGGCAACTCTGCAGCTGGGAGGGATCCACATGAGATTGCGGAGTTCCAGCCCTGGCCTCAGATTGGTCACTTCACACTGCTAGACATCTTCCAGCTGACGTAAAACTAAAACTGACACTCCCAGAGAAAAACCAAATGCAGATTTTTGTGGTCCAGGCTTCTAGTCAGAAACTGACCTTTTGATAAATTTTTCCCTTAGGATCTTTGGAAGATTTAAACTTTAATTCTGAGAAAGACTTATTCCAGAGAAGGATATAAGTTTTTAGAGTACCAACTAAAACATAAAACCAAGTATTTCCCATGATGGGAAAGGAAAAGACAAACAGTAAAGAATCCAGGTGGCCAGAGAATGAACAAAAAGAGCGGCTTTCCAATTTGGGTTCATTTGTAAAATTACTGTTTCACAGAAGTAGTGGGAAGGGGTGTGGGAGAAATGAAACAAACCACAAAACCCAACTATCCTCACACTCAGAGCGCTAGGAAAGAGAAAATTTCCTCTGACTTGCCTTAGGACCAATTCAGCAATAAAGGAAAATCATTCAGCTACTGTCACACCCTCTTCTCCCAGCTCTACCAAGAGCCAGCTTCCCCTCTGCCCCAAATCCAAAAGCAACCCAGGCTATTGCTAATATTCTCATATATATTCAAAGTTTACCTGCTCTGGAGCTAATTCTCACATTTTTGGTCCCACATCTCTATACTTTCTTTCGGTTCACCGCAATAATATTCCTTGGATTCACAAGAAACATTAAAATTTGAAATTTAAAATTGAACTATTTTTTTTAAACTTTAAAAAATAACCATTTTGCTAGGTGTGTAAACAGAAAATTGATGCTAAGTCTGTGAAACATGAGATCTTCGTTAAAAGAGCAAAATCAAATCCAAACCCTGACCAGAGAGCACCAAGATCCCTGCTTCCTGGATTGACAACTCCATTCCACCCTCTGGGCTCCTCATTTGCCCTCACATGGGTCACACAGGGCCCTCCATCTGTCTGGCCTCCTCAGTTCCATCCTCCCACTCACCAACAGCGCCACAGGGCTCCCAGGCAGTTGGTACCACAGCTGCCACTGCCTGGCATGAGAACTCTGGCCAAGGCCAGAGGGAGCCATCGCCTTAAAGGGAATGCTGACTGCAAACAGAGGCCGCAGATGAAAAGGTTTACTTCTGCTCCATTGTTGATAGCAGATGCACTGGTGCCAAGAAAACCTCCATTCTTCAACAATCAAATTTATGGAGGATTTTGTTCCTCAGAAAACATGCAAGAGCCAATTAACATATTCCTATGTTTGAAATATGTATTAAATATGAGGGGTTTTAAGACACTGGAGAATCTCAATTCAGCCTACTGATTTCCACCCAAGAAAGCAGTAAGCTAAACAGAATCCTCTCCCAGGAAACCTAGGGCTGAATTACGCAGGTTCTTTAAGCATGTAGTACCAGAGACAGAAAACTCAATTGTTCTCTAATTGTTTCATGAGTGTAGGCTGATCTCTACACTAATCTGTCCTACAGCAGCGACTAATTTCTCTGGCACAGAATCTTACGCTTCAGCATATGGTTGGGCATTTGGTAGACAACACAAATATTTGCTAATTTGTCTTAAAATTGTTTTAAAGCAATTTTTTAGGTTTGTTATTTTTAGAAAGAATGTTAAGTTGTCCCTTTGGCATTTTTTTTTAAAACTGGGAACACAGAGCTAACCCTATTTGATAAAGAAAGCAAAGAAACTCTCATTGAGTTCTTTATTGACTGAATTAGAAGGCAGGCAGAGTGACTGTTCTGAGGACAGAGGATCTTACTTGATTCTGCCTTCATGCAGCCACCTACCCTACCTCCATCACAGCACAAAATGTTCAATAAATGGCTCAATGCATTAAATCTTCGTAAGTTAGGGTCAAAGGTGCAGTTCTGCCATTGGTTTTCCTCCTCCTTATTTTTCCTTGGCCCCCAAACAAGTCACATTTGGAAGACATCTGGAGGCACTCACAGCTCAAGAGCTCAGTGAGGATGGAACTCCAAACTCCCTCTTCTTCCTTTTTTTTGAGACAGAGTTTTGCTCTTGTTGCCCAGGCTGGAGTGCAATGGCACAATCTCGGCGCACCACAACCTCCACGTCCCGGGTTCAAGCAGTTCTTCTGCCTCAGCCTACTGAGTAGCTGGGATTACAGGCATGTACCACTATGCTTAGCAAATTTTGTATTTTAGTAGAGATACGGTCAGGTTGGGTCTCGAACTCCTGACCCCTGGTGATCCACGTGCCTCAGCCTCCCAAAGTGCTGGGATTACAGTCGTAAGCCACAGAACCTGGCCTCCAACCCCCACTCTTCTAAACCGGTAGTTGACACTAGAAAGTTACAGATTGTCCTCCTGGAAGATAAAGGTTATTTTTCCAGGTAGGAATCCCCCCTCCACCTAAGGAATTTTACTTTCCGGCATTAAGTAAGACATATCTGGATGGTGCAAATGTCTTTGAGCAATAAAGATGCAAATTAGAATGTTTATACAATAGATGTAACTAAACCACAGACTTTACATTAAAAGATAAGTTTTAAAATTCACTTCAAACATTTCACTTGGCACTACTAATCTTAATTTTGGAGAAACTGGTACCACTTTAAAATTCAGTGATAGGATATGTGCTCTGTGTCTCCTCATTCAAACACAATGCTGCTGTTTATCCACGAAGTAGAAAAATAAATTTTTTTTTCTTGGTTTTAAAAAATACATCATTTGGGTTACTTTTGAAACCCATAGTTAAATAATATTCTATATTATATTTGTGACTCACTCTCAAGTGAAATGTTACCATACACCCACTCTTCTTTTTCAGGTGATAAATAATAAAATATTACAACAGAACTTTAGTTACAAAGTTCCTTACAATTTGCAGGGAAGAAGTCCTTTTAAAATAATAAAAATTAAGAGACTCTGTCATCTTGTTTTTACTTTTTTACAGTTTAGGTCTCAGGAAAAACTGAGTCTGAGGAAATACTAATCAAAAAAATCTTTTTCTTCACATTGTTACGTCAGTGTCTCCCAAAACAATAAATAAGACACCTGAAAACCTTCCTGAAACTTTCTGGTAACCAAAATCTTCTCTATCTTGATTGGGTTTTGGATCCTCTATGTTTTACTGTGTATAAATTTTGGCTCAATAAAAAGGTTCCGTAAGCCTTTCTGCAAACCGCATTTCAATATCTATCATCAGTAGTCCATCTCAGATCTGAGATTTTCATGGGTTATTAACAAGACCCTAAAGCCAAAAAGAAATCCCCTACCCAAAAGCCATGGACTAACAGCCCCACCTTGCCCCACCTCCTCTGGACATTTTCATCTCAAATCTGTCTTCAAATTTGAATTGCCGAAGATAAGAAATTCCACACACCTCAACTGACTGAGAAGGCATCTTCAGTTTGGTGAGCTTGACTTTGGCAGGCACTTTCAAGTCTGTTTTCTCAAAGGTCTGCTGTCGATAGTCCTCCGGCAGTGGTTTCAGTTCAGGAGATTCACTAGGAGCCTGATCTTGACCATCCATGGGCCGGACATAAGCCGTGGGCTTCTGCTGCATTGCAACACTTTTTGAGGGTAGGGAGGGAGGTGGAAATGACTGAGAAGGTGGCTGGGGAGGGGCCACCAAACTGTCTTGAGGGATCTCTTTATCATGGACTTTCACTGCTATGTCCTTGGGAGATTTGGCTGGGCAGTAGCCCTTACTGTTATTGTTGCTGCCATGAACCTTGCTGCTTCCTTGTGTACGGGGAAGAGTTTGTTGGTTGGAATGTATAGGTGACAAAGGGGGAACTGGGGAAGGCAAAGAGGAGATTAACGGAGAAATCTCCCTCTCTGGAGCCGAGTCTGCCACCGAAGCACAATGGTCTCCATCAGTTCTTCGGTCACCTTTCTTGTGATGAGTAGAGCTGTACCCCTCCTGACCAAGGCGATCCTGGGTCAGGTGCTGGCTGTCTGGTGGGCCGTAGCTTTTGGCATGGATACTTGGCATTGGTTCAGTTCTTGGCTGCGCCATCTTTGGATTGTGGCTAATGCTGCCAACAGAAAGTGGTCCAGACGCAGGAGTGTGAATGGACTGGTGGTGGACGCTAGTGTGGAAGGAGTTGGATGGAATGCCGCTCCCCTTATCAGGAATTAAAGGATACTTCGGCTTTCCCAATCTAGTTTCAGAAGCATCCAAGCAATGAGTATGGGACTTAGTACTAAGGAACTCCTTCACTTCTTCATAGTTTCCCAGCATGTTCTGTATTCGACTAGATAGCTCATCACCTTTTGCTGTCTGGAAAAAAAAGAGAATTAGAGAATGAAAAAAACTAAGAAAAACTATCATCTAACAAACCACGGTACATAATACTATTAAGGAAAAAAACTCTGAACTTCATGTATGACATATAGAATTTAATGTGCCATTTTAACTCAATTCTCTTGTTGAGAAGACTACCATGGACACATATTAGTAATTGTAGGAGACTAACGTTACAAAAGAAAACCACAAACTTTGGTAATTCTGACCAACAACGTTCAAAGAATTTTCATACTTTGTTTTCAAAAACAATCTCTAGAGTAAGTTAGAGTAAGTTATCTTATTTGCACAGCTGTGACCCTTGTTCGAACTCAATTATACTGAATTGTTTCATCACAGGGTTCAAGATTGTGATAAATCAGACCTTCAACTGCTAGTATTCAGTAAATACCTTGTAGGGCTCTCCAAACAGGGGAATCTTTTCAGGAAATGTCTCTTTCTCTTGGTGAGCTTCCTGGTTGCGTCTTTCCTTCTCTCTAATTCGAAGCAGGTTTCTGTCGTCATTGTACAAACTGTTTCAGATGCCACAAAAGAATGAAAACAATAAAATTTATCAGTCTCCAAGTTTTGTCATGGATACATGCATTCAATGAGGGAGGAAGGCAGGTCTGGGAAGAAGCAGTGATAACAGCTGTGATTTAAAGAAAGTCTAAGTCCCTTAACCCAGCCTTAGGCTGAGGCCTCAGTCACTCGGCTGTGACCCTCCAGACTCTGGTCCTGGCTCCCAGAACCCAAGCATTCACTCTGGGCTATGGTCTCCATCATGACTCAGGACTAATTCCAAACTGAACAGCCTTTTATAGGCAGTGGTGGAACCAAGACAAGATTAATGATATTTTTATTTTCAGCTTGCAAAATATGGGTTAGAGGTGGAAGCTTTTCATCTGCAGGAGTCAGCAGGATGTGAACTTTAGAAAGGCTGTTTTCCTGGATCAGTAGCATACATTTTGAAAGATTAAAATCAAAAGGCTTATTTCATAATTAAAAGATTACCAGGCACCCAAAACAGCATTTACTTTATTCTCCGTCTACTCTACTGGGAGTGTCTTGGCATGTAAACCCCACAAAAATGATTTTTATTGCTCATTTCAAATGTCAAGGATGAGAAAATCCAATTATAGATGTCAGCTCTACCTATGGAGAACGACTTATAATCTGACTGCCCTACTTTAACCACATAAAAATGTACCCTAAATCATCAGCCCTTGCACCAAAGGGGTTAAACAGCATTCAGCAAGAAACAAATCAGAGATGGAGACCCAAAGGCGTGCTGTTTTATCCAACACATAAACCAAAAGTGGGCTTGCCTCACTGTCAGCAGCACAGGCCACCTCCCAACCCTCATATGATTTAAAAATGAAATAACTATAAAATAACTTCTGTCTTCATACACTTGCTCCTAGGGAATTTACTGAATGTTTTCTCCCAGTGCCATTTGAACAAACAGGAAAACATTTTAGCGTCTAGCTAAGGTTGTCAGTACCTTCGGAAACTCTAGCCCTGATGTCAGACACCCTTCCCCAACCCCTTTCCTGGTCTCTTGGCTCTCTTCTGACTTCTCTTATTTCCTCTGACAAGAGCCTATTGGTCTCCCTGCATCCCCCACATCTTATCCCTCTAATCCAGCCTTCTCATGAAAAGAAACCTGATCTAAAGCCCTGGTTCTCATGTCACTATCCATATTTTAAAGTAAAGAGCATTTGATGGCTCTTTACTACTGCAGAATAAACTCTATACATTTGTGCTTTGGCATTAAAATGCCACCGTAATCTGGCACAGATCTACTCTCTAGAAATTATCCACTGTCCCCCTGCAGGCCTGCCACATGCATTCTACTTGACAGTCAGTCAGTTATGTCCATCCCCTGAACATACCCTGTAAGGCAGCCTCTTGCTCTAATTTCCACCAGGCCCTCTTTACTGAAAGATTACAATTTCTTCCAGGGACAGCTTCCTTAGAAAGTATGACTCTCTTATAAACCACCTCTATATTCCAGTCACACCTGACTACTCCCCATTCCTCAGTGATATCCTAGACTTTGATGCTTTCATTCCAGTCACAAATTTCCAGTGCCTCTCTCCACCACACGCCCCCATCCTTGATTTTCAACTTCCAGCAAATCTCTGGAATTATTCAAATCTCACTCACTCTAAAGGCTTCCTCAAATCCCCCAAGAATGTGCTTACCTAACACATCATTAGCTCTCTCTCCTCCTCCCCTGCCCCCTAGCACGTGAACTCCATCAGAATAGAACCTCCCAAATTTGCCACCTCTCTTGGTGCCAAAGCATGGTACTCTGCATAGAAGGTAATCGTTATGTATTTTTAGGTTTAAAAAACACCCACCAGGGGCCAGGCAGAGCAGCTCATGCTTGTAATCCCAGCACTTTGGGAGGTCGAGGTCAGGAGTTTGAGATCAGCCTGGCTAACATGGTGAAACCCTGTTTCTACTGAAAATACAAAAAATTAGCCGGGTGTGGTAGCCCAGGCCTATGATCCCAGCTACTCGGGAGGCTGAGGCAGGAGAATGGTTGGTACCTGGGAAGCGGAGGTTGCAGTGAGCCGAGATCATGCCATCATGCCACTGCACTCCAGCCTGAGCAACAGAGAAAGACTCCGTCTCAAAAAAAAAAAAAAAAAAAAAAAAAGAGCTACTACTACACTTATAGTATACTTTTATAAACTTACAATTTTCAAAAAAGATTTAATGCTGGAAGACACATGCAAAAATTATTTTTAAAAATCATTTAAAAAGTAATCTAGTAGTTCTATAACCTTTCAATCTATGGGGGTAGGATGCAGGGAGAGAAGTTAGCTGCTTGACTCTGAATTCGCTATGATGTAGTGAAGAATTATCTCCTTAGGCCAGGCATGGTGGCTCACACCTGTAATCCCAGCACTTTGAGAAGCTGAGGTGGGCGGGTCACAAGGTCAAGAGATTGAGACCATCCTGGCCAACACAGTGAAACCCTGTCTCTACTAAAAATACAAAAATTAGCTGGACATGGTAGCGTGTGCCTATAGTCCCAGCTACTGGGGAGGCTGAAGCAGGACAATCTATTGAACCCAGGAGGCAGAGGTTGCAGTGAGCCAAGATCACACCACTGTACTGCAGCCTTGTGATACAGAGCAAAACTCCATCTCAAAAAAAAAGGCTGGGCACAGTGGCTCACACCTGTAATCCTACCACTTTGGGAGGCAAAGGTGGGCAAGATCACAAGGTCAGAAGTTCAAGACCAGCCTGACCAACATGGTGAAACCCCGTCTCTACTAAAAATACAAAAATTAGCCAGCCGTGGTGGGGCGCACCTGTTATCCCAGCTACTCAGGAGGCTGAGGCAGAGGAATCACTTGAACCTGGGAGGCGCAGGTTGCAGTGAGCTGAGATCACACCACTGCACTCCAGCCTGGGCGACAGAGTGAGACTCCATCTCAAAAACAGAAAAAACAAAAAATTATCTCCTTAGACCTGTGCATCAAAAACTTTTCCTAGATGATGGATATTGCAATAGACGATTTTAAAAGAACTCTTAAAACCAAAAAGTAATAACTTATGCTAGTGAAAATACTGAAAAGCAGCAGCTGCTGAACCAGAAACTGGTCATGGAGTCTTCTGTAATGGAGTCTGAGTCTCACCTGTTTCAGACAGTTAAACTTACTTCTGGCTGGCAGTAGCACACTGGCCTCGATGACACCCAATTCCTTTCCACTATTTAATGATTTTGGTAATTCTTCTTGTTAATTCAAAAGATCACATGCCATCATTAGCATATAACCATAGAAGCCAAGTAAGCAGGTTGATCAGGAAATAATTTCTTTTTTCCTTCAAACTTGTTTTACGGCCACTTTGAGCCGGTTTGCAGGAGGAGCTGAGCAGGCAACTATCCTCTGAGCAACTCTGCTTCTCTTCTCCCAAACTATCCAGTGCATGTACCTTGAAGCAATCAAGACAGGCCGAGCGGTGAATAGGTGGAGGGAAGCTTACCATGGGCATGTGCTTGTCTGCTTGGCTATTTTCTCACCACTAAGGGAATTCTCCCCTCTCCGATGCTGCCACTTAGCACGGTGGAGTCCCTATGGCTGGTTGGTATTCACAGCCTTAGGCTCCACTTCACAGGGCAGAGCTCCGCCCCTTCTAAATAAATGCTACCTTTGTCTCAGAGAAGGGAACTCCAAATGGCAATTCTCAGTACAAGATCCAAAAGGGAGGGTGTAAAGAGTTGCACTTCAACTAACAGGCCACTCAGAGTCCTCGATTTTCTCATCAATTCCACACACCCAATTCTCCTTTAACAAAGTTAAGTTGGTTTAAAAATCACTAAAATATTTTTAAATCAATCAGCTCAGCCTTGTATTATTGGCCTTATCTCAGCATCAGTTGGGTTTCTCCCATACTTCCAGATTTTCATTTCAAAATATTGAAAACTGCTACAGAAATAACCAGAAGAACCCAATTAAGCCATTCTTTCACAAAATTCCTAACACTACTTTATTACTATGTGATTCTAAAATCAAGAAATCTCCCACAGGGAGGAAATCCTATTAAATTAAGGATTCTAGTTAATTAAGATTTTACTTCATTAGTGTCAAAAAAATAAAAAATCCACACTAAGATTTTATTGACAGACACATAATTCTACACCTATTTTGAGACAAATTGTCTTTTTTTGATTCACCATCACCCTTCAACTAAAAGCCCTGTAAGTGGTGAGGTTAAAAAAAGGCATCATGGATATCACCGGTAGGATGAGTGTTACAAGGTCCAGGCTTCGTGAAAGAAACTCACTCTCCCCATACTGTCCAACAACTCCCTCTTGGGTCGAACTCACAGAAACTCCTGGGCAGGGCAGAGGAAGACAGAAGACACAGGAAGTTCACAGGAGTAGAGGTAGGCTTTGAGCCCCTGTTCTCAGTTGCCTCCTTTCCCCTTGCAACTAAATGGTTTTGCCAGTCACACTGAATAGTTTTCCGGTTTCTTGTTGCAAATTTGCAATGGCTTAGCAAATGATTGGTTAAAAGCTCCCAGGCAAATCTTTTGTGAATGTTTTCTTTTTCTTGGTTCCATTTTGAGACAAAATAATATGAAATTTTAAAAATAAAAACCCACAATTCATATCATAAGTAAACCTTTGTTCAGCCTATACACGTCATTGATTAAACCAAGGAGTAAGCAAGAAAGGGGCAGATGGGAAAACTTTTTAGTGATGGAATTTTAGGAAGTGGCAAATGCCCTATATGATTCACAAACTCTGTAATAACCTTTTTTTTTGAGATGGAGTTTCACTGTCGCCCAGGCTAGAGTGCGCTGGTGTCATCTCGGCTCACTACAACCTTTGCCTCCTGGGTTCAAGTTATTCTCCTGTCTCAGCCTCCTGAGTAGATAGGATTAGAGGCACCCACCACCACTCCTGGCTAATTTTTGTATTTTTAGCAGAGACAGGGTTTCACCAAGTTGGCCACGCTGGTCTGGAACTCCTGACCTCAAGTGATGCACCCACCTCAGCCTCCCAAAG